CCTTTCAGTGACACACCCAGCCCCCTCTTCCGGAACCTCCTCTACCTCCCACGGTCCTTTCTGAGAACTGCCAATCCAGCGTAGGGGGCAGTGTGTGTGTGTGTGTGTGTGTGTGTGTGTGTGTGTGTGTGTGTGTGTGTCAGGATGACCTCAGACCTCTGAAGTCCCACTCAATCCTGAAATTCTAAGATTCTAGACTTGCTGCTGATGGTTCAAAGGCCACCTATGAAGTAACTCTGAAGAAATAATGGGATTTTTTTTTTTTTTTTTTTTTTTGCGGTACGCGGGTCTCTCACTGTTGTGGCCTCTCCGGTTGCGGAGCACAGGCTCCGGATGCGCAGGCTCAGCGGCCATGGCTCACGGGCCCAGCCGCTCCGTGGCATGTGGGATCTTCCCGGACCGGGGAACGAACCCGCGTCCCCTGCATCGGCAGGCGGACTCTCAACCACTGCGCCACCAGGGAAGCCCGAAGCTGTTTTTAATGATGATTAAAACCAGCCATATGCAGGGCATTATGGTGGCGCCTCAACGTTCATTATTTAACCTTCACTGTAAGAGGTGAAGGTTGGAAGCTCCACTATAAGAAATGGAAATGGCACAAGGACCCTCACATGCCCGCTTTCACACTCCTAGTTAACCAGGGGAGTGGATTTGCACTGATTTGGAGGAGCTCTGGCTCCAAAATCAGGGTTCTTTCCACTCTAAATGGATCCTTGGGGAAAACACCAAGGAGCCTCAAGAATAGGGAGGGGGCAGGGGCTGCTGTGGTTCACAATGGGGTCTTCAAGTAGGGGCCCGCTGTATCCCCCAAAATTATCTAGCTGCGGCGGAATCCACAGGCAGTGCACTGGGATCACCCCTTAGCCAAAGCCTCTTTGGCAGCCTCAGCCTGAAGGTCAAACTGTGGTTTCCAGTTTGAACGCATCAAATCAGTTTGGACTTCCCCTCCTCCCACCTTCCCCAGCCTTCCCCCCCCCCAGCATATGTAACAGCCCTCTTCACAGCATATGTAAAAGCCCCCCAAGGCTGAGCTAGCGGCCCCCCTGTGCTCCCACTGAATTCCAGAAATTCTGCAATTACGTTGTCTTTTGAGCAGGCCTGTGGCTGCCTTAACTCCCAGGGCCGGACAAAGTCAAGAGTTTCTTAGTGTCCAGCATAGGGCCTGGCCACGCGGAAAACATGGTTCCCAAAAGCCAGGCTGCAGCGAGACTGCAGGAGGGCGCTGGGCACCAGGTAATCCGCCGTGGACTCCTTAGGCCCTGGTCATCATTGACCTGGGGCTCGGGAAGGAGTCTAGCCTGAGAAGTTGCAACCTGGCTGCAAATCCTGAGGCTGCCCCTGACCAGCTCTGTGACCGAGGGCAAGGCATATCTCTAGCCACCAGTGGTCTTATTCAGAAACAGGCAACCCCACATAGTCACTACTGAAGGCTGTGGTGCTCATTAGTATATGGCCCGCAGGGGCACTCCACAACACACTCCGTTCTCTACCCACCCCCTTCCCCTTGGCACCAGGGCTGCCTGGTACGAATGCAAGGTTGCGCCCTGCACAGGGGGTACACGGCTGGGGGGTGAGTGGAGCTGACCTGCAGCTCACACTCCACTCACCCAGCCCCATGCCCTGGTGAGTCTCTACCTCTGCCTGGCTGAAGGGGCACCTTTCTCTACCCTGCCCAAAGGCACCTACTGGACAGGGCGGACGGTGGGCAGGGTCGGCGGGGGTGGGGGTGGGGGCGGTGCTTGCCTAGGCACTTTGCACGTTTGGAGCATCTCTGGAGCATCTCTGCCCTGGAAGGCCGTGAGCTGACTTGTCATGGTGCGCTGGTGAACTGCTGTACTCTGAGCTACTGGCCCGCAAGGGAGGCGGGAGGGAGGGAGTGAGGCCCTAAGTCACTATTTGCAGAGAGGAAACTCCAGGGGCGAAATCTGACCTTGCTGGACTGCCTGGTGTGAAGCCTGGCACCACCACTTCTTGTTAGCTGTTGACCTTGGTCAAGTTAGTGCACTTCTGTGAACTTCAGTGTCCCCTCTGTGAAACAGCGAGGAGAAAAGCAACCTTCTTGAGGCTACTCACGCAGCAAATAATTGAGAGCCTACCCTGTGTCCTGCAGTGGTGTAAGGTGTGAGAGTTAAAGGGCACATAGGGAGGACTCAGTAAATTCCAGCTGCTATTCCTCTGAGGCTGCTTATATAAATGATTGATGAATGAGTGAATTCCACCAGGGACCTTGGTTGATTGCAAGCAAAGCTGAGCTACATCTTAGGGAGGGACTTTGCCCCTACTTGCCTTAAAGTGCCAGCGGGGCCTTCCCCTGCTTGGGCTCTCTCCCTACCCACCCCGCAGCAAGCACCGGTGAGGGCCCCCGCCTGGCCCCCTCCAAGGGGTCACGGTCATTCGGTCACTGCTCTGTGTATATATCCAAGGCTTGGCAGGAAAACAGAGGGGAGGTCCCGGTGACCGACGTCTGCTTCTGGGTTCACCACCGCTGGTTTTCCGCATTCCCTGGACTCTGACCTCCCTGGGCTCCACCGCCCCTTCCGGCCCTGGCCGCAGCCCCGCCCCAGTCCCAACGACACAGGCGTTTCCCACCCCCGGCCCGGCCGGCCTCTTCCTCGATTCCCTCCTGACATCCTCCTTGTCGGCCAGGCCTGCAGCCCCAGTGTCGCCGCCGCCATGGCCTCGCAGCAGCTCTTCCGCGCGCTCGTGTCGGCGCAGTGGGTGGCCGAAGCGCTCCGGGCCCCGCGGGCCGGGCAGCCCCTGCAGCTGCTCGACGCCTCCTGGTACCTGCCCAAGCTGGGCCGCGATGCACACCGCGAGTTCGAGGAGCGTCACATCCCGGGCTCCGCCTTCTTTGACATCGACCAGTGCAGCGACCGCACGTCGCCCTACGACCACATGCTGCCCAGGGCTGCGCACTTTGCCGAGTACGCGGGCCGTCTGGGCGTGAGCGGCTCTACCCACGTCGTGGTCTACGACGCCAGCGATCAGGGCCTCTACTCGGCGCCGCGTGTCTGGTGGATGTTCCGCGCCTTCGGCCACCGCACCGTGTCGGTACTCGATGGCGGCCTCCGCAACTGGTTGCGCCAGGGCCTCCCGCTGAGTGCGGGCAAGAGCCGCCCGGAGCCCGCAGAGTTCCACGCGGTGCTGGACCCCGCCTACGTCAAGACGTACGAGGACATCAAGGAGAACCTCGAATCCCGGCGCTTCCAGGTGGTGGACGCCCGCGCCGCTGGCCGCTTCCGGGGCACCGAGCCCGAGCCCCGAGAAGGTAACCCCGATGTGCGAGGGGCCCGGGAGTTCCCTGAGCACTGCCCTCGCCTCGCCCTTGCCTTTAGAGGCCACCGCGTGGGGTGGGGGCCGAGAATTGGTTTCTAGTCGCCTTACTGGCATTATTCTAAAGTAGGGGTAATAATACTTGTCCCACCTCCACCCCAAACTAGTTGGGAACCCAGGGGGCCCAGTATAAGTGTGAGAACCCAAACAGCCCCACCCCAGTACTATGGGTGTAGGGGTCACTGCCAAATAGGAGGGGTGGGCAGGCCCAGTTGGGGAAGAGCCCCAAAGAGAGGGGGCTTGATCAGGTGTAGGACCATCTCTGAGGAGGATGAAGCCAGGAAGGAGTCTGGGGTGGGGAGTGAAAGGCCCTCAGAGGGACCAGAGTCTTGCAGAGGGCAGGATAGAGGGGCGCTAAGTAGAGAGAGAGGTAGCTGCCCCAGGTTGGAGGGGAAACTGAATAGAGTGTGGCTGCCCGCCTGGGTTGGGGCAGGGCCTTCTGCCCATGGGCTGGGTTCCCCGGGCAAGGAGCAGAGGTGGGGAGGGGTCCCCACAACGCAGGTGGGTCAGTGGCCACTTTGGTGTGAGCTTTTTCTTTTATTTTTAATTATTTTTTTTATTTGCGGTACGCGGGCCTCTCACTGTTGTGGCCTCTCCCGTTGCGGAGCACAGGGTCCGGACGTGCAGGCCCAGCGACTATGGCTCACGGGCCCAGCCACTCCACGGCATGTGGGATCTTCCCGGACCGGGGCACGAACCCGCGTCCCCTGTGTCGGCAGGCAGACTCTCAACCACTGCGCCACCAGGGAAGCCCTGGTGTGAGCTTTTTAGATGGGAACTGTTTTCATACCGAAGGGGAGATGGAACCTTAGAATGTCTACCTTGCCCCAGATCTCAGGAAGCAGCCAGGCATTGAACTCCAGTACCCTTACCTGCAGTGAACAGCCAGTAATCCCCCAGCCATTTGTCTTGTGTCTGCTTCGAGGCGGGTGCAAGGATCTTGCCGTTTCCTCTGAGGAGCTCTCCCTGCAGGGCATCCCCCATTCCCCTGCATCAGCGTTGGATGGAGCTTCTGTTCTGTTTCTAGAGTAGCTTGGGTTTACCCTGTCCTAGCACCGTTTGGGGTGACCTGAGAGCAAGGACCATCCATGCTCCCAGCGCATCCTGAAGACTAACCCAGTAGCTGGACGGAGTCGATACCCCAGAGAGATCTGGTGAATTCACAAGGTCCCTGCTACACGGAACCCTGCAGAGCTGTTGACATAAGGTCAAACTGCAGGAAACTGCTGATAGCCAACCATTTTTTATTTTTTTAACATCTTTATTGGAGTATAATTGCTTTACAATGGTGTGTTAGTTTCTGCTTTATAACAAAGTGAATCAGCTATACATATACATATATCCCCATATCTCTTCCCTCTTGCATCTCCCTCCCTCCCACCCTCCCTCTCCCACCCCTCTAGGTGGTCACAAAGCACCGAGCTGATCTCCCTGTGCTATGCTGGCCAACCATTTTTGAACCTACATCGGTGGCAGTTTAAGACGGTTCAGCCTAATAGGGATGCCGCCTTGAACCTGTGGGGCACTTCAGCTCAGCCCCCTGGGTGGGGGTGGGGCTGGGGGTGGGTGGAGCAACATAGGGCAGCGAGCCAGAGCCAGACCTGGCTTCAGAGCCCTGCCCCAGGTTGCACCGGCTGTGTGACATCTGGCAGGTCACCTAATCTCGGAACTGCAGCTTCTGCATGTCAAAGTCAGGGCAGAACACAGAGCTTAAAGGATGCGGTGAGGGTCAAATGAGAGCCAGTGTGTAAAGCACTTAGCTCCGTGTTTGCACACACAGGATGCACTCAAGAAACGGGAAGTGATAAAATTAACATGCTTCCCTGGCTGTGGCTCTTTACAGGGGTGCTTAATGCTTACCTCAAGCATGCTTGCTCATTCGTAAAATGGGAGCTAACAGTAAACACCCAGCAGGCCTTTTGTCGAGGTGGCTGAGCTGATTTGTGTACAGGCTCCATCTAAATCAGTGGAGAATATCACCGTCCCCATCGTCCCCACTCCACAGCCTCAGACCTGGCCAAGCGCGCCTCGAATTTGCCACATCGGTGCGGCAGGGAGGTTCCCTTGCTTGGTGGGGTTTGAGGTATGGGGACAGCCCTCCTCTGACAGTAGCCACCCTGGGTTCAGAGCTGAGGCCTGGGTTCAAATTCCAGGCAGCAGTTTGCTAGATGCGTGACTTTGGACAGTTGCGAACTTCAGCATCTCCGCCTGTAGAACGGGGATTCCTGTAAACAGTGCCCGGGTTTCCTGGCTGTGAGGACTGCATGAGACGATGCTTATAGAGGGTTTAGCACCATGGCTGCATGGAAGGCTCTCAGTACTGCAGGAGCCATTCATACTGCCCTTGTATTTGTTCCCTGCATCTTGCTCTCCCGCTGCAGGCATCGAACCCGGCCACATCCCTGGCACTATCAATGTCCCCTTCACGGAATTCATGACCAAGGAGGGCTTGGAGAAGAGCCCGGAGGAGATCCGCCTCCTCTTCCAGGACAAGAAGGTGGACCTGTCCCAGCCCCTGGTGGCCACGTGCGGCTCCGGCGTCACAGCCTGTCATGTGGCACTGGGGGCCTACCTCTGCGGCAAGCCCGATGTGCCCCTCTATGACGGCTCCTGGGTGGAGTGGTACATGCGCGCCCAGCCCGAGGATGTCATCTCCGAGGGCCGGGGGAAGACCCAGTGAGGCTTGGCGGGACACAGGAAGCTGGGGTGACACCCAGCCACCAGCAGTGCCCAGCCTGGTGGTTCTGACTCTGCCTTTGACCAGTATAGGGTTTCTTCCTCCAGCCCAGGTGGCGCATAGGATAACATCCCAGAGGCCAGCAATTCCGCTGCCTCGCGGGCTTTCAGTGGAGGAAGCAGAGAAGGTGGTGGCGGGAACAGGGGGAGGGGAGCTGCCCACGTGGTGCTGAGCTGGAGCCCCACCTCCCCTCTGTTGAGGAAATAAAACAGTCAAGTGCTAAATCCTTCTAACTGAGGCTGCCTCAGCTTTCCTCGGCTCTTTGGCCAGTGGTTCCAGCATGCCCAGCGAGGGAGCTTTGTGGAGCCGGAGGGTCTTGAGGACGCTGTCCCTGCCTTCTGAGCGGTCCTGGGGTCCCAGAGCCCTTCCAGTCCTGTGACTGAATGTCTCCCAGCGAACTATCTTTTACTTCTAATATGGCTGGGGTCTCCGTTCTGGCTTCTGGGCTATTTAAGGTGCATCTGCTGTGCTCTGTCTGGAATCACACCCAGACACCCCCTGCAGGTAAGCCATACATCTCATTTCAAGACAGAGATGGTTCCAGAACTTAATGGGAAGCTATCCCACGCTGTGGAGTGCTGTGTCAGCCCAGCCAGGATGTTCTGGAGAAGGGCAGAGTTTAGCCAAATCGGAGGAGACCCTGGCTCTCGACTCTGAGAGTCACACTTGGAGGCTAAGCTCTGGGAGCCCCGCGGGGGTGGGCAGTCTGGGGGTTTGATCCTTTCTGCTCAAGGAGAACCCTCCCCCCAAGGCTTCCCCAGTAGGGGCTCTGTTCTCCCTCTGCATTTGTCTTTGTGCAGAGGTAGATATGGGTGTCTGAGAAGGCCCCAGGCTCCCCCTGTCAGAACCTGGGTTCTGGGTTACCCCTCCCCATCTTCCAGCTCCCGGGGCACCTCTTGGTAGCAAAGGGCCAGGTGTCAGCCAGCATTGGGGGGAACCCTAGAAGGAAAAAAACCAGAGGGGGCAGTGACTTACCCAGGGTCACGTGATGGGTTCACAACAGAGCTGGAAGCAGACCCAGATTTCTCAGAATTTACTCTTTCTCGCCTACAGTCCCCAACACATGTCCTCTGAGGCTGAGTTGTGTCTCCCAAGACCACAGGACCTGTGGGGGACCAACAGGACAGAATCCTGGTTTTCTGAATAAGAGGTCTAAAGTAGGCCCCACCTCTCTGAGCCTCAGCTTTCTTATCTATAAAATGGGAACAATACGTACTTCAGAAGAAGGGATTTCAGACAAGGACTTGGCCAAGAGCCCCGTGCTGAGTCCCATCTTTCCAGCTCAGGGTTTCTCAAACTCAGGACGACTGACATTTGGACTGGATCATTCTTTGTTGTTGTAGGTACTGTCCTGTGCATTGGAGGATGTTTAGCAGCATCTCTGGCCTCTACCCACTAGACGCCAGCAGCACCAACCAGTTGTGAGAACCAAAAATGTCTCCAGATAAGACCAGATATCCCCCGAGAGGCAAAAATCACCCCCCAGTTAAGCACCAATGCTGTAGGAGCAGTGGCCACACTTGACCACAGCAGTCAGGACCATTGTAGACAGGGATCCCCACGTGGAGGGGACCCCTGTCTGCCCATAATAAACCCCTTTCCCTGGGGGCTGAATTTAACAGCTTAGAAACTTCCTTCCTTTCTCACTGGTTTCAGACAGACCTCATTTTCTCTGCTGGAAATGTCTCTGCCTCTTCAAGGAGCTTGCTTTGTCAGCAAACACGTGTGAGGCTCTGATCTGGCTTCTGGCTCTGTTGCCCCTTGCAAGGCTGCCTGACTTTGGACACATGGCTGAGCCTCTTTGAGCCTCAGTTTCTTCATCTTTAAAATGGGAGTAATCGTACCTTCCTTGAGCAATATGGGGGTTCAGTGAGAGAATCCATAGAAACTGTTTAGCTTGGTGGCAGGCAAAGAGTCAATATCAAGTGTTCTTGTTATTTTTTAAAGGGCTTTTACTTATTCAGCATGTTCAGTGCCTCCTGTACCTCCAGCATTGGGGTGGGGGGGGGCGGAGGGTGGGACAGGGAACATGAGTATGAGAATTGTGTCCCTGCCCTGGAAAAGCCTCCCAGCCAGGAAGGAGAAACTGGCCCGTGGTATATTTTTAGAGAGAAATAGCGAAATGATCAATTTTACAACAGACTCAGAGATGTTGAGTGATTTGCCTAAGGGCACACAGCTATTTTGAGAGAGGAGCCTAACTGGAGTTAGAATTCTCAGGGTAGGAGCCTCTCCAGTGGGTTAGGAAAACCTGAGTTGGTTTTCCCAATTTCAGTAACAAAGGGAGAAGGGAGTGGAACTCAGGGTTTGGAAACACACATGGCAAGCTCATGGAAGGTGGCCAAGTGTCTCCCAGGCTCCACAAGGAGACACCTTGAGCTGAGTCATGAGATTTAAGCAAGGAGATTTGGTTAGGCTCCCACCCACCTCCCCAGACCCACCATCCCTACCCCACTAGCAAGTAACCCCGGCTGATGTGAGCTGGGGCTTTTTCCTCCTGGGAAGGTTCTCCATGCATCTGGACAGGTTCAGAAGCGGGAGACGGGAGATGGAGACGTGCCTTTCTAGGTTTCTCGGAGCTGTGGTTGGTTTAACTTTGCAGGAGTTGGCTAGGAAAGACCCAGGGCCACCCTGAGCCCTGACCTGCCTCCTGCATGTCTGAACTCCCAGAATAATTAATTAACCACTCCCTGCAGAGTCCAAGCCTCTGCCAGCACCTGTCCCACCCGCCCCATGTGTTCCAGGCAGGAACTTGCAACATCGGACAACAGGGATGATGAAATTTTTGTCTACTTGGCAAATATTTGCTGAGCACCCCCTCTGTGTCAGGAACAGTTGGAAGATTGCCAACCTTGTCTCACCAGCTGCACTGGATTGTGTCCACTCCCTGGCTCGTTGCCTCCAGGGATCATAGCCCGAAGGAGCCCCCACCCCACACAGTGGGCTGAACAACAAAGCGATGCGCTTATTTGGTCCTGGCACTGCTCGAGACCCCAGAAGTTCTGCCTTCCAGACCCTTCCGGTCGGGGCCTCAGTCATCTCATCTGGAAAACGGGAGCAAACTGCCCTGTCACACACAGGGTGGGTGTGATGTCAGATAAGGGAAAGCTCTAAGGCGTTTTCTATTGTAGGTCATTCCTACTGGAAATAACCCCAACTAGTCGTTATATAAGCAGCATGGAGCTTTATTATCCTTAACACATGGAGAATGAGTCATTCGGGAGAAGATGAAATTTTCAGGTTAACTGAAGCTTTATAATTTTAAGCACCCCCAAATTTAACAGAGGGTGGGACACAGTGTACTGAGGTTACCCGAACTCTCTGTAGCTCTGTTTCATCACTTTATTGTGGCAGCAGTTTGCCCCTAAGCTCAATGGCCCCCATTGCTGTGACTTTCCAGTCCTCGAATCCTTGCAACTCCAAGTCATCCTTGCCAACTGTCCTTCCCAGTTACTATCTGTGTTCTGCAGTCTCCACCTGCTTCTAGGTGGGCCCACTCCCTCTGGATAATGCCCCCTATTCTAGGCCTTAAACCACTGTGTTGAACCAGGGCTTCCAGCAGCCTGCTGGGCCCCTCACCCCGGTCCTCTGTCCATGTCCCCTGTCTCAGTGTGCATGGCCACCACACAGGGGTCACCTGTGCCCAGACCCGGCAGCCAGTTCTCCAGACTTGGCCTCCCTTCCCCACAGCCAGTCAACACCCAGGCCCGTGATTGCCGCCTCTATTCCCACTGCCTTGGTCCGAGTCACCACCACCCCGCCTCCCGGCCCCGTGCCCAAGACACATAGATGCAACCTGTCCAATTGTTAATTCCAGCACACACCCTCAGGGACAGGCCCTGTACCAGGATCTGGGGCATGGAGGATAAAGACAGACTCTGAGAGGGGGAATTGTCCTAGTGGAGAGAGGCGGGCAGACAGACCATGGCAGGTGTGGCGAGGGGTATCAGAGATGAAATGGAACAGGAGAGGGTGGAGCCGGTGGTTCTGGGTCTGAGAAGCAGGTCTGCACAGGCCAGCAGCCCCTTTCTGAATCCCCTCGCTCCATGTAGAGAAGCCGCAGGGGATAGGGTTTAAAGCACAGCCTCTGGAGGCATCTGGACCTCCAGCTCCCTGGCTGTGAGTGTGCTTTGATTTCCTCATCTGTAATGGAATAATCCAGTACCCACCTTACAGGATCAGATTCATACCAAGCACTGAAAACAGAGCCTGAACAGTAAGCCCTACATACATGCATTATTCATTACTAAGATTCTGTCCTACTCAGGTCGCTCCTGCCTCCCTGTGCTGGCCTGGACGCCTTGAGAGTAACATATTTTATTCATGGTTCTCTTCCTGGCCCAGCACAGTGACAGGTCAGGGCTTCACAGATGTTTGACGTATACATATTCATTTATTTATATTTTGGCCTCGCTGCGTGGCATGTGGGATCTTAGTTCCCTGTGCCCCCTGCAGTGGAAGCACAGAGTCTTAACCACTGGACCTCCAGGGAAGTCCCTGTTTGACATATACATAAATATCCCGGCCAGGCTAAGAAAAACCCTAATAATCCCTCTTTACCTAGCACTTTCCATGTTCAGGGAGGATGCTAAGTGTTTTGTACCCACTTAATCCAACAACCCTGAGAAATGGGTGTTATTATATCCCCTATTTTACAGGTAAGGAAGATGGTGGCTTAGAGAGGTCAGGTGACTCGCCTGAGGTCCCAGGAAGGGTAGGGCTGGGGTTGGAATTCTGGATAGAATGATTTCATCATTGTGAGAACTGGGGAGGGGGTCCTAGATGCGGGAGTGGGGGTTCTCTCTGGGTGGGGGGTTTCATAAGCCCCGTACAAGCGCACTCACACATGCACACACGCTCACACCTCTGCTCACAGGCGAGGAATAATGGAACCAGAGCCTAACTGGCTTGCCAGGCTACATGTGCACTCTGGTACGTTTCTCCAGGACTCTATAATAAAGAGGGACTTCCCTGGCGGTCCAGTGGTTAAGACTCCAATGCAGGGGGACCAGGTTCGATCCCTGGTCAGGGGACTAGATCCTGCATGCCACAACTAAGAGCCCTCATGCCGCAACTAAATATCCCGCAGACCACAAAGAGGATCTTGCGTGCTGTAACTAAGACCTGGCGCAGCCAAATAAAAAAAAATTTTTTTAAAGATGTATTTCCTCTCTTTAAAGAACATAGTAGCAGTTGGCAGAGAAGAATGCAAATATGGAGGCAA